CTCTAATTGCTTAACTTCTTCACAACACTTATTAGCTGTTTTTTAAAATTACACATTTCCCATTGGGTGTAAAGTAGGGGATTTTTTTGTTTTCTCTCTCACTTTTTTTTTTTTTGGTTTGCTTTCGTTTGGGGACCACACCCAGAAATCCTGAGGATCTACTCCTGGCTCTGCACTCAGGAATTATTACTGGGAATCCTTGGTGGACCATATAGGATGCTGGGGATCAATCCTGGGTCGGCAGGTCCAAGGTAAGAGCCCTACCCCTGTACTATTTGTTCAACCCGTCTTCACATTTTCTTAATGTCCGAGCATGTTGAACCTTTTTTTCTTTTTCTTTTTATAAAGTTGTCCACATAATTATATTTAATATTCCAACACTGGGCTGGAGCAGTAGGGCGCTTGCCTTGTGTGCAGCCAACCCGGCCGAGCCGGGTTTGATTCCTTCGCCCCTCTTGGAGAGCCGGGCAAGCTACAAGAGTATTTCGCCCACATGGCAAAGCCTGGCAAGCTACCTGTGTCGTATTCAATATGCCAAACACAGTAACAACAAGTCTCAAAATGGAGACGTTACTGGGCCCGCTCGAGTAAATTGATGAACAACGGGAGAACAGTGACAGCGATTCAACACCAATCCCACCACCATTACACCTTCCCACCACCATATTTCAAATGTTTCCACCCCGACCCCCAAAGCCTGCCCCGAAAGCAGGACCTAAATAGTTTTTTTTGTATTGCTTGTTATGAACAATCCACTAAAAATGATCCAAAACATTTTTTCTTAGAGGAAAGTGTGTGAAGATTGTTGTATTTCACCCTGCCATTAAGCCCTTGTCTTGGAACATCAGTGGTGTACAGTACAATGTCATGCAGCCATGAATGCAACCGTATGCTCCAGAAATTCTAAAATTTTAAATACGGTGATACAGCTGAGGTTAATTAATTTATTAATTTATTTTAACTGGATGGTGACTTTGGAATCTGGAGGCATCTCTGTAGAGCATTGCTCTTGTATTACTCTCTTCTAAGAGATTTGTGAGTCTCTGAATCACGGCCAGTTCATGAGCTTATATGGCACCAGAAGCAGTTGATGGGCATGACTGCCTGGTTACTGGAAGCACAAAGAAATGGGGGAAGGTTGCCCATTCCTGAGTCATGTGAACCTAGAGATTTCAGTCATAATTCCCACATAACTGGGTTATTCAGCAGATTGACTCATGGATAAGGTTTATCTAAGCCAGTGGAGATTGATTGTGAGCATGGTGGCAATTGAGTTCTGGAGGATTTTGTCTGCCAGAGCTTGTTGGGGTGGGTGGAGGGACTCACCAGCCCCCCTCTAGGTTGCCCTGGATGTGACAATCAGGCACAGGGTCCAGAGGCATCTTTGTAGCATCCTTTTTTCTTTTCTTAATTTAATTTTATGATGTTCACAATAATTTATTACATTCAATATTCCAACACCAATATCACCACATTATATCTTCCCACCATTTTTTTTTTTTGCTTTTTGGGTCACACCCGGTGATGCTCAGGGGTTACTCCTGGCTCATGCACTCAGGAATCACTCCTGGCGGTGCTCGGGGTACCATATGGGATGCTGGGAATCGAACCTGGATTGGCCATGTTGGCTGCGTGTAAGGCAAACGCCCACCCTGCTGTGCTATCGCTCCAGTCCCCCACCATTGTTATTTTGAATTTTCCCAACCACTACCCATCCTGCCCCGATAGCAGGCCCTAAATAATTTATTTTGTATTGGTTATGAATAATTCTCCAAAAATTATCAAAAATGGTTTCCTCAGAAGAAAGCGTGTGAAGATTGTTGTATCTTACCCTGGAGCCATAGAGTCCTTGTTAGAGATTACTAACATAGTTATAGGTTGAGCCTTGTGTGCTAATATTTTTTTAATTGAAATTAAAAATCAATTTTTTAAATTGAGATTAAAAATCTTATATCCTATCCAATGTAAGCTACTCCTAATACATCAGTGGTATAGAGTATGAGATATCGTGGATACATGCTCCAGGAATTCTAAAATTTTTTTTTTTTTTTTTTGCTTTTTGGGTCATACCCGGCTATGCTCAGGGGTTACTCCTGCCTCTGCACTCAGGAATTATGCCTGGCTGTGCTCAGAGGACCATATGGGACGCTGGGAATCAAACCCGGGTCGGGCCGTGTGCAAGGCAAATGCCCTACCCGCTGTGCTATTGCGCCAGCCCCAGAATTCTAAAATTTTGAATAAGGTGATACAGCTGGAGTTAAATTTTTAACTGGATGGTTGCTTTGGGGTCTGAGGCATCTCTGCAGCTTGTTGTTCTCTTCCAAGATTTACTTGGGAGTCTCTGAATTGTATCTGGTGAATGAGCTTATATCAACTGTTTCTAGATTAGTTCCTCTCTCTTCAAGGATCACTTTTGCCAGTTTCATAAATTCTGCATCTCTAGAACTGAATTAGAGCCATATCTTCTCTAGGGGATAAATGAGGGGGTTAGAATTAGATTTATGTAATTAAATATAGTAGTTTATTTATCTAACAACTAAAGGAGCAACTTGGTTGGATACAGTATTAGGTAAAGACAAGGCAATTACTGTTTTCATAAGGCAGGGTCTTATGTATGTTTCAGACTGCTGAAAATGAGCCAGTAGAGGATGAAGCTAAAAGATGGGTGAAGAGAGGTAAAGTGAGCAGTCAACTGTTAAAATATACCATCTACAACCATTGGAATATTATGTAGATGGGAAAGGATCTGCAATTCTTTTAACAAGTGAGTCAGAGTTTAAGAAGGGAGCCATGAAAGTGTGATTTAAATAGAAATATACAACATCTAAAATGAACCAAAATCTGAGATTCCTGGGGAAAAATATGTTGGCTATAGTTGGTCACTTTCTCATTGACATCAGTCTACTGACCCGGGAGGCGGATGGGAGGTCAGAAGGGTTTATTGAGGAGGTCTTGGTGGTGGGATCACAGGACCCGCTTGCTCCTTAGGCTGGGAAACCTCAGAGTTTCCAAGGCCAGACTGTGGCACAGGATCCCAGCTTCATAGCGAATGCAGTCAGACCTGAGAGGTCACATCTGTAATGCCCAGGCCTGGAGGATGAGCCAGGTGTGCTTGTGGGTGGAGGTGCTGCTGCCATGGTGAGGCCTGGTACTGTGTTCCATGGTTGCACTGGATTCTCAAGGCTGTTGCCAAGAAACTTTTCCTTGACTTTCTGCAGTGCTATGAACACTGGGGCTAGGGCTCTCAGTTACTGGGGGCTACAGTGAGTCAAAAGTGCTTGAGTCCCCACGCAAGGGGGATAGGTCCCAGGCAACAATGGATGGAGAAAACAAGATCTTCAGTGCTGAAGAGGGAGTACAGTGGGTAGGACACTCGCCTTGCCTGCAGCCAACCCGGGTTTGATCTCTGGTATTCCATAAAGTTCCCACTAGGAATAATTCCTGAGCACAGAGCCAGAAGTAACTTCTGAGCATGCTTGGTATGGCCCCAAAACCAAACCAAACAAACAGATCTTTCCATTTTGAAAATTCCTTTGCTACCTCCGGCCCTCTCGGAGAGCCCGGCAAGCTACTGAGAGTATCTCGCCCACACGGCAAAGCCTGGCAAGCTACCGTGACATATTTGATATGCCAAACACAGTAACAAGTCTCAAATGGAGATGTTACTGGGCCTGCTTGAGTAAATCGATGAACAACAGGAGGACAGTGACAGTGACAGTGACCTTTGGTAAATAGGAATGTAAGTTTCTGATGACATAAAAATAATACCTTTAGTGGGGACATTTATGGGTAACAAGAATGAAGGTAGACAGAAAGAGTAATGCATTTTACAGTTTTATTTCATCAGAATTCATTTCCTTGCAGAGAACATTGGCTTTCTACCAAGTAAACAGTCCAATAGGAAGCAAGATGCATCTGTACACATATAACCTTGTTCAGCAAAGAACCTTCTCTTCATAGATTCGGGCTCATGAACAGGCCAAACTGGCAGTAGCTATTGTTCATTTCTAATGGACGGAGTACCCATTTTACACATAAACCTCGTATCTATGAAAAAGGTTCTGGGTTTCCAAGTATCTTTAGCATAGACTTCCTGATTGCCGAGAAGCAGAATTCCCCAGCTGCCCATCAAATGCCATCCATTTGCAGCTGCAGGGCCTCCTGCAAGGGTAAGCTTCTACTGCTGAATCCAGTCCATATGAAGTGGAGCTAAGCACACACAAAGTCCTACTGCATACAGAATAGTTCCCTTGAAGCCATGTAGTGAAACTTTGCTTAATGTTTCTCAAATAAAAATTCAAACTCCTATGGCCAAAAGATAATACAGTGGGTTTGTTATGTAATCAACCTGGCTTTGATCCCAGGCACCACATATGATCCCCTGAGCCCCAAAAGGAGTGATCTCTGAGCACTGCCAGGTGTGGCCCCCCCAAAAAAATTCTAACTCCCATCTTTTTAGCTGTTTCCTCCTTCCCAGTTCTATATTTGGAATCTAACACAAGCTTTTCCACAAGTACTGTTATTTCTAGGGTCAGACAGAGTACCCTCTCTCTATTAAAGGATAAAGCCTTTCCTGAATATTCTACCCTATAGCCATCTAGATTCTGACACTCCTTAGTCTTCACCCAGCTCTTGGTTCTAATATTTTTGATGCCTATTACTGTTGATTAGCTTCCTTCATAGCACAGTGGGCTGGAGCGATAGCATAGTGGGTAGGGCATTTGCCTTGCACGCAGCTGACCTGGGTTCAATTCTTCCTCCCCTCTCGGAGAGCCTGGCAAGCTACCGAGAGTATCTCGCTCGCACGGCAGAGCCTGGCAAGCTATCCGTGATGTATTCGATATGCCAAAAACAGTAACAAGAAGTCTCACAATTTGTTGTGAGATGTTACTGGTGCCCGCTCGAGCAAATCGATGAACAACGGGAGGACAGTGCTACAGTGCAGCTTCCTACAAGTGTTTAGCTTATCTTCTAATTAGATGTAAACTTCTTAAAGGCAGATATTAAATTAAATTGTAGTTTTCCTTTGTTAGTCATACATTTATCAGTAATTGCTCTAAGTATCCTGGTTCTGAACACTAACACAGTCAGGACTGGAGATAGAGCTCAACAGGCTGGAGCACATGCTTGCATACAAATGGCCTGCAACGGTTCATCCTTAGCACCACATATGGTCCCTCTAGCAATGCCAGACGTAACCTCTGAGCACTGAGCCAGGAAGAGGCCCTGAACATTAGCAAATGTGACCTCAGAACAAAATAGGACAAAAGTAACAAGATCAATCCAATTATGACGAAACACAGATGTATTAGGGTTCTCCACAGATTTTCTAGAAGCATGCTTTGGATAAACATGAATTTTCTAGAAGTCCAATCAATTCTTCGCGTGTGTGCTATCAGGACTCATCAGCTGACTCCGTGTCCCAGCCACAGGACTGTAGCTGTTCATCTTGTGGGAACTCAACTTCAATGTCATAAACAAAATTTGGATCATCTTTCTTCTTTTGATTTTTCTCAAAAAGTTCATCCATGATGCTCTTCCTTTTGGCAAGTTCCCTATCATCAAGTTTGTTCATGTCTTCCTCGGGGTCGATGGTTGTTTCTTGTTGAATTTGTTGCATTGTTTCTGCCAAACTCTGCCCCCATAAGTAACCTCGTAAAACACGAAATAATTTCCCTAGTTGCCTTAGGGATACTTGTTCCAGGTAAATCTTGTGTCGGGGATTATTCTTTAACTGTTCAGCAGCTCTGCTGCAATCTGGGAGGAAAAACAAAACTATAATATCACACATAACAAACTACTGATGGACCATAAACTACACATAGCATGAGATGCCAGTACTGGCCAGCAACTAAGCGGCTGTTGGAATTCTCTTACAGAAGAACTGCTTTCCATAGAGCTTTCCAGGTGGTGGGGCAAGGCGGGATGGGTTCTGGATTTCCTTAACTTAAAATCACTTTAAAATGTGAAACTTCTTCTTTTCGCCGGGGAAGGGGATAACACCTCCCAAACAATGCTTGGGGACTGAGGGGACATGTAGAGGGACACTGGACTAGCCAGGAAGGGCAGTTCAGTGCTAGGGCCCAAGGATGTGGCGCCATTCAGGCCCAGCAGTGCCAGCCAGCCCCAGGCTCACTGCCAGCAGAGGGAGAGGCCACGTCTGGTGGTGCTCAGGGGTGGGGCCAGAGTCCTGTGCCTATCTCCCTGTAGCGGAGATGCTAAACACTGAAGCTAGAGAAATTAGCTGAGGAAAAAAGTGGCATAATAGCTTGAGATATTAATATTGGTTCTAAGAAAACACTAATACTAGGAGTTGAAGTGATAGTACAGTGGCACTTGCCTATGTGCGGTCACCCCAAGTTCAATCCCCAATATCCTAGATGGTCCTCGGAGCATGGCCAGGAGTGATCCCAGTGCAGAGCCAGGAGAAAGCCCTGAGCATTGCTGAGTGTGGGCCCCAAACAAAACAAAAACAGAACAAAAAAAGAAACAAGAAAATATCAGGACTATAAAAACACACTTGCAGGGTAAGAGAAGCAGTTAATACTGTTGACTAGTGCTCTCATTTAACCCATCCTGTCACTCTAAAGGATGGGATTATCAATTTCATTTGAAAGAGGAGGAAACTGAAGGTCATGGTGTAGAAGTAATTTAGCTAGGATTACATATCAACCAGAAAGAAACATGATTTCGACCTAGGTCTAACTCAGGGGGTCATGGCACTGACACAAGATGCAAGCCCTCAAATTATTAATTTTGGTTGTTTGTTTTGTTTGGGGCCACACCTGGAAGTGCACAGGGCTCTGCACTGAGGGATCACTCCTGGCAGGCTAGGGTGACCATACGGGGTGCCGGGGACTGAATCTTGGTCAGCCGCATACGAGGCAGGCACCCTATCCATGTGCTATCACTCTGGTCCTCTCATATTATTCTTACTGATTGATTTAGAGGACACCTCACATTGTGATTTAGACAGTACTTCACACAGAATATTCAGATAAAACTTAAAGTACCTGAAAACTTTGAAAAGTTGCGGACTGGCATGATCCGCTGGCGACTTTTCCCCTTGATTTCATTCTCATAGATTAAGATAATAGCTGGAGGCTGGAATCGAATTCCACATTTTTTGGCAGTGCACATCATCCTCATACACTTCAGGGTAAATCAAAGGAAATCTGATGAAAATGTGTTAGTCACATAATGACTTCCTGCTTAAGGGGAGGAAAACGAAGAGTTAGATGACAACAATCTTAGCCCTGCTCACTGCACACTTGGCTTTCATCCAGTTCTAGGGGTACATGCTCAGCCTATCAAGTGCAGCAGCCAGGAAATGAAATTCAGTTTAGACCCCGTTGGGTGCTGCATTCTTTCTAAAATTAATATTGTGATATTTGGGACCACACCCAGCATGGTCAGGGGCTACTCCCAGCTTTGTGATTCAGGGCTGTTTCCAGCACTGCTTGGGAACTGGAAGTGATGCTGGGGATCAAACGGTTCTCTCTCTCTCTCTCTCTCTCTCTCTCTCTCTCTCTCTCTCTCTCTCTCCTCTCTGTCTTTCCTCTCTCTCTTTCTCCCTCTCTCCTCTTTCTCTGTCTCTCTCATCCCTATGCTGTATTCTTATCCAAAGATTAAATATGCACCTCTGAGTATGCCCAAGAACTATGGATCAGCACTCTATGCCAAGTACTAAGAGTCCTTGAATCTTAAACAATATATCCTGAATTCACCAGACCAGATCTGTCTCCTTTGTATTTTCCCAATCGTTTTACACATCACATGTTTTGTAATTACTTAATCCTTCATCCTCTACCATGCCCTGCTTATGAGGGCGAAGAATTTATTACCTACCACAATATTCCACCACAACACCTTGAACATAACTAATATGTATACATATTAGTTAAGTTCAATGTAGTAATACAATATCTAAACCCTTTACATCCTCTGAGAGTTTACTGTCTGGAATTCTGGTTTTTAAAAAGGCTGAACTTGGGGCAAGAGAGATAGCACATGTGATAGACTGTGTTTCAATCCCTGGTACCACATATAGTCCCCAAAACATTAACAGTGACCCCTAAACATAGAGGCAGTAGTAGCCCCTGAGCACTGTGGCGTGTGGTCTACCTCCTCCAAATAAATAACAAAAGCATACCTGATACAGAAACAGCCTCTACTTGTTCAAGGTGATGATATCTGCATAATTTCAACTTATTTGTCTCTACATATGATACATATATATAATTATATATGTGTGCATGCATATATATTCAATTATAATGAACAAATTTTTGAGCTGGACAGAGAGTACGGGAGAGAACAGGAGTACATGCCTTGCATGCAGCCAAATGTTGGTTCAACCTTGACAGGGCATCTAGTTCTTCAAGCAGCACCATGGATCACTCCTGAGCACAGAGCCAGGAATAGGCCCTGAGCACCACTGGGTGTGGCCCAAACCCAACCCACCCTCTAAAAAAAAAAAACATTTTTCCAGTTCAATACTTTCTATGCCCTCTTCCCTTTCCTGACCCCAATGCCAAAATGCACTTAAGAATAGACTACTTAGAGAGTCTCAGGAGTATTTGCAAATGGCCAGCAACTTAGAGAGAAAACAGCATGAGGTGATGATAACTTCATTAGCTCAGTTCTGTTAGAAAATATCTATGAGAAGATTGTTATTTAGTACATGTTCTTTGTAGAAATCTGGAAGCAGGAAGAAAAATAAATTAATTATCCTTGATTTCTTTCCATGTCTATTCTAGGCACTTCGTTTTATTTTTCAGTATTTTTTATATTATACTTAGTATTTCCTGGCTTTCAAATTGAACAGGCAGTGTGAATGTCATGAAATGTTTTGCCTTTAACAACAGTACAATATCAATTCTCCACACTCAAGCAATGATGATTAAAATGCAAATTTTCATATGATTGCCAAGTGTTTTATCTTATGAACAATCTAGATTATTGATTTATTATTGTTGTGACTTTCTGCTTTTTGCTCTGTTTTGCTTTGAGGCCACAGTCAGAAGTTCTTGGGAGCTACTCCCAGCTCTGTTCTTGGGGCTGATCGAAGGGATGCTGGGGGAGGGGTGTGTGTCTTTTGGTGCCAGGGTTGGAACCTAGGCCTCCAGTATGCTTTGCATATGCTCAGCCCACTGAACTGACTCTCCAGTCTAGAATTTCTGCTTTTTAAAAAATTCCTGTGCTTGGGGTCAGAGAGATAGTATAGGGGGTCAGGCACTTGCCTTGCATGCTGCCAACCCCAGGTTCAACCCCTGGCATCTCATATGGTCCCCCAAGCATTGCCAACAGTGATCCCTGAGTATACAACCAGGAGTAACCCCTGAGCATCACCAGGTGGGGCCCAAAACAAAACCAAAAATTCCTGTGATATCTCTGATATGATGCAATTATCCACCCCATCCCCGCCTCCTCCTCCTCCTCCTGTAATGAGTATCACTCCCAGTCCAACTTACTACAGTTCGATCTGTTGGCAAGCTTCCTAGACGACAGTACTGAGGCAAAATAGCAGTACTATATTTCTCACACTCAAGCAAATGAATGATGACTAATATACTTAGCTGCTTCTTTCTTTTTTTAAATTTCTTTTAACTAGACTTTTATTTTTCTTTTAAAAATGTACTTTTAGGGTACATATACACTGGTGAAGGGATAGGTATTGGAACACTGTATGACTGAAACCCAATCATGAACAACTCTATATAACTGCATCTCACAGTGATTCAATTTTAAAAAATTAAATAAAATGCTGAGATAACTAAGAACCTCAGTTACAGAAAGAAAAAATAAATTTAAAACTGTATAAAGTTTTCAAAAATAAATAAAAATAAACCTTTAGGCCTGAAGGAACAGTGCAGTGACTTAAAAGCTGAGTTTCTTAAACTTTTTCAACCTGTGACACCCTTCTGCCTGAGAAAATCTGTACATGATTTTGCCAGGCATAATACATCAAAACTTTATTTCATTTATTTGCTTTGTTTGGGCTGCGTGCAAGGCAGACGCCCTACCCGCTGTGCTATCGCTCCAGCTGGGCTGGAGCGATAGCACAGCGGGTAGGGCGTTCGCCTTACAAGCGGCCAACATGGCCAACCCGAGTTCGACTCCTCCGCCCCTCTCGGAGAGCCCGGCAAGCTACCGAGAGTATTCGATATGCCAGACACAGTAACAACAAAGTCTCCAATGGAGACGTTACTGGGCCCACTCGAGCAAATCAAGCTTTGTTTGGGGGACACCCAGCAATGCTCAGGGGATACTCTTGGCTCTGCACTCAGGAATTACTCCTGGTGGGGGGACCACTTACTCCTGGGTTGGCTGGAACCCAGGTCGGGCACATTCATGGCAAGCTCTCTACCTGCTGTACTATCTCCCCAGGCTCCCCAAAAGTTTATTTTGAAATAAAATAAAATTTTGTGGGACGCTCTTACACATTCAGTTATGTGACTCTCTGTGGGTTCCCAGGACCCGAGTTACAGAACCTAGGGCTCAGGGCTCCTGCCTTGCAAGCGTATGGTGACGTCTTAGAATCTCCTGTGCAGCACACTGTCCTGGCAAGCTCTGCTTCTGCCACCCCCAGCACTGCAAGCAGTTTCTGGCCAGGTGTGTGTAAGCACCACATGAAAGGATGACACCCTCTCCCCAAAGTGCAACTAAAAAGATGTGTGCGCACTCTCCAGGAAAACAGTTACGGGAGAGTGGGGAAAGCAGCTCGACCCAAACCGTGTCTCAGCAAGGGTGTGCACGAACCCTGCGATTAAGCACAAACTCCATCCAGCAAGGACCTCCCCCGCCCCCCCCCCGCGTGTCTGCGACCCTCTGCCCACCCTCACTCCCACCACCCCAGTCTTTAAAATACTGTCAGCAACAACGGTGATGGTGGGATTTTTTTGTTTAATTTTAACTAATGTTTTATTCCCTTTAAAGAATTAAATAAGGGACCGGAGCGATAGTACAGCAAGTAAGGGGCTTGCTCTTTGACCCGGGTTCAATCTCCGGTTCAAATCATCCCATTTGGTCCCCCTGATCACCACCAGGGGTGATTCCTGAGTGCAGAGCTAGGAGGCATCTCTGAGCATGGATGGCCAGATGTGAAGCCCTCCAAAACAAAAATAAAGTGCTAAGAAAATCTGCGGTCTCTCTGCCCCTTTCCCTAGACAGGTAAGCAGTTTAGACCCTTCCCAGTTTAGACCCTTTCCTTCCAAACAACGACTTCTCTCCATATTTCTTGATACAAGGCTCTGGTCACTATTTTCTGTTAGCCTCTGGCTTTCTTCTTTGAGACGCGCATCCTAGAGCCCTTGGTTCTGCTCATTTCATCATCCTCTCTAGACCTCCTTACAGATCAAATGCATGCAGGGAGACGGCACGTTTGAGACATTCACACCTTTCTCACCCCAGGGAGAGGCGACAGTCCCAGTGCTGCCAAACATCCCCCTTGGCACCGAAACGTTGACGCATCTGGACAACATATGGACAGCCCTCAGTGTTCTTACCCTTAGAGGAGCACAGTGGAAACATCATTGTTTGCAGGCCAACGTCTAAAACGGCCGTGAGAGACGTTCTTCCCGCCTAACTGCAACACACACACACACACACACACACACACACAAACGGCGCCGGACGGTGACGCCGGGAGGAGCGAGGCGCTGCAGGAAGACGTGGGCAGCCAATGCCCGGGCAGGAGGTGCGAATCCGCAAACACCTGCAAGCCAAAGTGCGTCCCAACACCAAGAGCCGGCTCCCGGGACCGCTCCAGCCGGTCGGGCTTCCGCAGTAGAGGGCGGGCGCTTAGCCGTTGCCTCAGCAACAGCCCCGGCGCCCGTCAGGACGCATGCGCCGCCCTTTGCCCCGCCCTCGGAGGGGCCGGTAAGGGGCGGGGCGTCGACGAGAGCCAATCAGGGGCCGGGCTCGGCCGCCTCCTGGGACTCCGGAACTTTGGAGCTTGGGGGCTGCGGGGAGGTGGGGACCGCTGGAAGTGCTGGCGTGAGCGCTTGTGAGTGCGCTGCCCGGCTCGCCTGCTCCCGGAGCGGCGGGTGCTGGCTTCTCCGTCCGCATTTGGTCTCCGCGCGCTCCTCCTGGGCGCCGGCGCTCGGCGTCCTGGCTGCCTGGGACGTCACTTTCCGGGCGGCGGCCTGGCTGCTCCTGGGGGTGGCGGCTGGGCTAGCCAGCACACTTGCCACGACCCCGACCCCGACCCGGACCCCGACCCAGACCCCGACCCCGACCCCGACCGACGCAGGTAAAGCAGGGGCTGGCGGGGCAGGAGCCACAGCAGCACGTGTAGGGCCCTGGGCTTGCACGCGTGCTAGCTACCTGGGTTCAATCCACCGCACCCTGTGTGGTCTCCCCGCCCCCACCCCCCCCGGAGTCCCGCTAAGAATGATTCCTGAGCACAGCACCAGGAATAACCCCTGAGCACCGCCGGGTGTGGGAGGCTGGACTGCGGGGTGCCCGCGGGACCGGAAGTCCCAGAGGCTTGATAGCAGGATCCCGGCCTGCCCCGAACTTGACAAAGGTATTGCACTGCACCTGCTTGCTGGAGCTGATTAGAACTGTAGGGTGGAGTGCAGAGGGTTGCAAACCAAGGCGTACTGCCAGCCCCCCTCTCTCCTTTATCCTGCAACTCCACTTCGCCCGTTGCTCAGTGGCCTAGTATCAGGGCTCTGCAGAGACGGAGCTTCGGCATTTGAAGAAGGACTTTTCGAGGTCGAATTTTTACTATAGTTGCAAAAGAAATCCACCCCGGAAGCGACCTGGGATGCTCTTAGGGTGTTGAAGTTCTCCAACCCCGACCGTGTCGGGGCCAGCGGGGCCCCAGCACATGCAGCATCCTAGTTCGGAATAGAGCGCGTGGAGATTGGTTTTGCCTTACGAACATGTTTGCGGATTGAGCTAGGATTCTTTTTTGGTTCTGGACAAGCGAGTTGATTCATCTCTTTGGACTATTGTGGTATACTGTGTGCTGTGTATCCAACTATTTGATAGGGAAAGGGAAGTCGGTGCAAACAAGTGAGCCTATTTCGAAAAAGAGGGTGTTAGTAGTATTTTGTCAAATCATTGCAGCTCTTTTGCGTATAAAATTTCCAATTGTATTCTAAGAAAGGAGTACAAAGCCCCCTACACATTGAAGTTGATTTTTTTTTTTTTTTGCTTTTTGGGTCACACCCAGCAATGCTCAGGGGTTCCTCCTGGCTTTGCACTCATGAATTACTCCTGGCAATGCTCGGGGAACCATATGGAATGCCGCGGATGGAACCCGGGTCGGCAGCATGCAAGGCAAACGCCCAACCCGCTATGCTATTGCTCAGGCCCCTGAAGTTGATTATTTTTGACAACTGGGTTTGGTGATCTCTTTAAGAGACTTTCAGGGGGCCGGAGAAGTAGTAAAGTGGCTAGGGTGCTTGCCTTGCACTGGGCCAACCTCTGTTAGATCTCTAGCATCTCTTATGGTCCCTCGAGCACTGGCAGAGTGCACATTTCTGAGTGTAGAGCCAGGAGTAGCTCGTTGGCATCGCCAAAACAAAACAAAAAAAAGTTTTCTAGCTCAGACATTTTGTAATTAAAAGATTAATTACAGAGCCAGTTTAGGCCCAATGACTCATATTTGGGGCTTCCTGGAGGTGCCCAATCAAACTCAGCCTTCTGCATCCATTGCTTGCTCTCGGGCTCTGTGAACTGTCTTAGCAGCCTCTGAAGTAGAAAATCTCGGAAATGGAATCAGTTGCAACCAATTTTGAAAATTTGCCCTATACTATCTGGTGATATTCCCTAAGAATAAGCCTATTTTAACCTGTTTTCTAGCTTACAGATAGTTATAAGTCCTTCTTTTCCCCCACCCTCCCTGTACCCCATTATATGATGAAACATTTGGACTTGTACAAGAGATTCCCTAAGATACTTGTTTGGGAAAAGATGTGCTTCTTCGGGGCTGGAACGATAGCCCAGTGGGTAGGGCATTTGCCTTGCACGCAGACAACATGGCTGACCCGGGTTTGATTCCCAGCATCCCATATGGTCCCCCAAGCACCACCAGGAGTGATTCCTGAGTGCATGAGCCAGGAGTAACCCCTGAGCATCGCCGGGTGTGACCCAAAAAGCCAAAAAAAAAAAAAAGATGTGCTTCTTTAAAGCAAATAAACTATCTTTAAAGAGGAAAAAGAGGCCAGAGCAATAGTACAGGGGGTAGGGCATTTGCCTTGCATACTGCCATCCCAGGTTTGATACTTGGCATCCTGTATGGTCCCACTGCCAGCATCCCTGTCTAGCTCACTTTCTCCTCTCTCTCTCTCTCTCTCTCCTGTCCTCTCTCCCTCTTCTCTCCCCCTCCCCTCTCTCCTCTCTTTATCTATCTCTCTCTTAGTTATTTCCTTGATCTTTCATTTAATGCTTATTTTATTAAAAAAAAAGAATAAATCTTTTGGTTCTCGAGTGCTTATTTTATAAAAAGGAATAAATCGTTTGGTTCTCATAGGTACAAATGCCACTTGTCCTGAAATTATTTTGAGACAAGAAGTTTTGAAAGATGGTTTTCATAGGTAAGTTGCCTACTTGATATATTTTTACCTCATAATGTTGTTTTATGTAGTTTAGAGTATAAAAACCAGTATTTGAAAAATGGATTAATTGAATGTCACTTGTTTCCTTAAAGCTTATCAGTGACAGATTTCTCACATGTGGTTCACAGTTTGAAATAATGGTAATACAAATCATCATGAACAACTTTGTAAGCCACAGTGTTTATATAAAGTGTGAGGGGAAAATAAAATTTCTAAAAAAGAAAGAATGGTAATAACTGGAGAGGTGAGAAAAACCAACTGCTTATTATTTACCTGCATATGTATATATATATATATTTTGCGAGAATATATACATACACTGGTCATTTTAATCTTAACAATCGTAACATTTTAATCTTAACATAGCAATCTGATCTGTTTCATATCAGATTTTGTTGGAAATCTAGGTTAATTTGTAGTGAATCAGTATGTGAACATTTAGGAGTGTTCCACTGCATAAATATGCCAATTTCGTTTATTTTATTTGTTTTTTTAAATGCAGAGAAAAGCTGGACAGACACTTTATTTATTTATTTTTGGGTTTTTTTTGGGGGGGAGGGGTCACACCCGGCAATACTCAGGGATTACTCCTGGCTCTGCACTCAGGAGTTACTCCTGGCAGTTCTCAGGGGACCATATGGGATGCTGGGAATTGAACCCAGGTCGGCCGTGTGCAAGGCAAATGCCCTACCCTCTGTGCTATTGCTCCAGCTCCACCAATTCCATTTATTTAGGCTTTGTGGGTTGTCTTAATGTTTCTTGCACACATCTTGTTAAAAACATATGAATTCTTGCTATTAAGATGCACAGTTGAAAGTAGTCTATACTTGAGGAGTGTTTGAGGCATTGAACTAAAATTAATTGCTGGTTAATGGGAAAGCTACAGAAATTGGGTCATCAAGTTTCCTCTCTCTTGATAAGGATTGGGAATAGCTGGGGGACCAAGTACCTTTGCATTTAAACCTGTTTTCTTTGAAGCAGGCTTTAGACGCAGCCTGTACATTTTGACATACTTGTTTTTATTTTCACTTAGCTCAACATATCTTCTAATTTCCTTTATGAGGTTTTTTTTTTTTTTTGCACACCTCCCCATCAGTTATTTAGACAGATTTTTTTTTTTATTTTTAGATTTTAGGGGGCTTTACAGAAATCTATCTTCCAAACAGATGTCTCCCCCGCTTTTATTTATTTATTTTTTTTTGCTTTTTGGGTCACACCTGGCGATGCACAGGGGTTACTCCTGGCTCTGCACTCAGCAGTCATCCCTGGCAGTGCTCAGGGGACCATATGGGATGCTGGGAATCGAACCCGGGTCGGCCGCGTGCAAGGCAAACACCCTACCCGCTGTGCTATCACTCCAGCCCCTCCCCCGCTTTTTAAAAAATTACTTTTTTCTTTATTTAATAATGAGTACTTCATTATTAAAAATAAACTCTGGGGGCAAAGAGACAGTACAAGAATTAGGGTGCTTTCCTTGCATGTTTCAAACTCAGGTTTGATCCCAGGCACTGAGTATGGTGCCCCTGAGCACAGACCCAGGAGTAAGCCCCAGTCACTGTGAGGTGTAGCCCAACACCCCCTTGCTCCATAGTAAAATAAACACTCATTGGAGCCAGAGTGATAGTACAGCAGGTATGGCGTTTGCCTTGCATGTAACTGACCCAGGTTCAATCCCTAGCATCCCAGATGGTCCCTGGACCACCGCCAGGAGTAATTCCTGAGTTTAGAGCCAGGAGTCACCCCTGAGCATCACCAAGTGTAACCCAAAAAGCTAAAAAAATAATAAACTTTTTCCATACTAATTAGTATAAAGGTGCAAATTTTCTTGGCATTCCATATTTAAGTAAATATCTCTGACACATGGTAGATTACATATGATGAAAAGGAATAGGGGCCAGGGAGAAAACTCGAAGACCCCGAGTTTGATCCCTAGCATTGTTTGGGCTCAAGTATAGTTGGGTGTGGCCCTGGAGACCTGTCAGCACTGAACCTGAGCATTTGGCCTTGACAGTGGGGACCTCTCCCCAATAATGTAATAACAAGTGTAAAGCAGTATAATATATTCAACCAATCAAAATGAAATCAACTTGGGATAAATTACTACAAGATTCCAACACACACTTGATATGTATGTTACAGCTGACAGGTATCTTGTTCATTATGGTTCCAATCTGGTAGGAATGACTAAGCCCATTTCTTTCAAAGGAGGAAAAAAGAAAAAGATTCACTCTATGTACTTTTACTAAGAATTCACTATGTACTTTTCAGCAAGTCTTAAATAGTCTAGACAAAAAAGATGTGTATATCTGAACACACAGAAATATACACAGACTACAAAGTAGTACCGGACTGTACAGTGAGGATCAAAATTATAATGACCAGCGTGACTAAATAAATCACAGATACCTGGCTTGTTTTATTTTTGATGAAGAACTCACATTTGAAGGAAAAGCTGTTTATTAAGATGGATTTATAAGTTTCCTTATGCCTAAGATAAGATGAAATTACTGTTTTTGTTTGTTTTGGGGGCCATGCCTTACACTCAGGGGCCACACCTGACGGGGGCTCTGTGCTTAGGGCTTATGCCCGGTGGTGCTCTGTGCACTGTATGCAGGTCTGGATTCAAATGAGGGTCGTGGCTGCAGTCTCATGCGTGGCCACCACCTTAACATCTGTACTATCTCTCTGCCACCTCCCCCCCTTAAAAAAATAAGTCCAATGATATGAAAGTGCTGACTGTAGTTTAGAAGCTGCTAATGTACACTTTGTGTTGACTGGGTTTTTCTTTGTTAATGGCCACATTTTCCTATTTCTTTGTATGGTTAGTAACTTCTGATGTGAGTGTGTGGATTTTGTTCTTTTTAAGTGATTGGGCTTTCTGGTCAGCAGTTAGGGTAATTGTTTCATATCTTCATTTCTAATTGTTTGTGAAGGCCTGATATTAAAGTTGGTCTTACTGTAACTTTAGACCTATAGAGGCTAATTTAGTTACCGTGGCTTTATGTTTTGGGAATCTCTACTGAGTGCTGTGGTCTCTGTGCTTTGGTTGCAGCTGTTTCCAACCCTCTGTGAAATTGTAGGATTTTTCTCTCACTTCCTTGATCGTTTTTTGCCAGACTTCATGAAATTATACCTTACTCATGTTTACCTTGATATTTAAAAGAAAAAAAACTCGAAGTGACCCCAGTTTTTCTGGAACTTCCTATAGTTCTCACTTCTCTGAAGTCCTTTGCCTCTGTGCATTCAGCCTCCTCTAATGTCCATCTCTATTTTCTCACGTAAGCAAAGCCATCATGCTTTGGCTCTTCTTTGGCTCTTCTTTCCTTGAACTTGGTCCAAACATACCAGACAGAGAGCTGGGACAGTTCTACATTTAGGTGTTTAATCTATTGCAGATTAATTATTGGACAAAGCTATTAGACAGAGACCATTTTTTGTTTGTCTTTTGGGTCATACCCAGAGGCCTTCAAGGACTCCCCCTGGCTATGCTGAGGAGTGAATTGGGGAATCACATGTGGGGCCGGGGATCTGAACCTGGTTTGATGGGGTGCAAGGCAAGCACCTTGACCCCTGTGTTATGTCTCTAGCTCCCAAGGTTCACCTTTTTCTATCTAGATCTCCAGTTGTTTCAGTCCCTGTGCTTGTAAAGTTTTTTCCACCAAATTGTATGGACGTCTTTGCTGAAAATACATATGCGTCAATTTTTGGCCCTGTTCTTAGATCTTTATTTTCACACTAAATAAACATCATATCTAGGGACCAGAATGATAGTACAGCGGGGGGGGGGGGGGGGGGCATTTGCCTTCAACGCAGCCAACCCGAGTTCGATCCGCAGCATCTCATATGGTCCCCTGAGCAACACCAGGAGTTAATTCCTGAGTGCATAGCCAGGTGTGATCCAAAAATTAAAAAAAAAAAACCCTCACTTTTATAAATGTCATGTCATCTAATAGATGATTCTGATGTGTAAACCACTTTATAATCTTTTAAAAAACTAAGTTGAAATATAGTTTTCCGGGACTAGAGCAATAATAGTACAGCAGGTAGGGCATTTACTTTGCACGCAGCCAACCTGGGTTTGATTTCCAGCATCCCATAGGGGTCCCCTGAGCACCGCCAGGAGTAATTCCTGAGTGCAGAGCCAGGAGTAACCCCTGTGCATCACCGGGTGTGACCGAGAAAGAAAAAAAAATATATAGAAGAAATAGTTTTCCCCCTAATGTGAATAAACATTGTACCATTCCATTTAGCAATTGAATGAAGAGATTTACTTTGAATATATTTGTGTTACAGAGACCTCTTAATAAAAGTGAAATTTGGAGAGAGCATTGAGAACTTCCAGGCGTGCCGACTCTTACTCAGACAACTCATCCCTGCCGGACTCCTTGTGGATCCATACGAGTTGGCTTCATTGGAAGAAAAAAACTTAACAGAGGTACGACTATGAGAGGATTTTTATTTGGAGAAAACTTGTTTTAGGGATGCCATGATCTGAGGCAAAATAGATAACACTGTAGTGATTTTCAGATTTTTTCAAAGGATATAAAATAACATATTGGCTAGGGTGGAAGGTTTTTTGTTTTTTTGGTGGGGGCCATAGCTGGTGATTCTCCAGGGCTACTCCTGTTCCTGACTTGGTGCTTGGGTCATTCCTGGTGGGGCTTGGAGGGTCATGTGGTGCCAGTGACCAAGCCTGGGCCTCTTCTGTGCAAAGCGTGTGCTCTGCCCATTGAGCTCCCTCTCTGGCCCAGGGTGGGAGTTTTTGAGAAGTGAGTAATGACTGTCATAACTGTAGGAATAAGCGCACTAAGCTGAGCTATTTAAATGGATGTTTTTTGGCTGGGTGATTTGTAGTAGAGTGACTAAGAAAATTATATATGTCTTGAGGGGCTGGAGAGATAGTATACTGGGTAGGATGCTTTCCTTGCATGCGGCTGACCAAGGTTTGTTCCCTGGCACCCCAGATGGTATCCCTGAACACTGCCAGGAGAAATTCCTGTGGCCAGGGCGAGGAGTAAGCCCTGAGTACTGCTGGGTGTGGCCCAAGAACAAATAAACAAAAATATTAGGCAAAATGGATTTCAAAATGAATTTCAGAGGTGAGATTATCATTAGATCCGAAAAAGGTTATTTTGAAAATGAGATGGATTCATCAGAAAGAAATCATTTTAAACATTTAAACACCTTAAAAGTTGAGTTCTTAAACCTTAAAACTTGGGCTGGAGAGGTAGTAGAACAGATAGGCGCTTGCCTTGCACGTGTGCCTTGCCTTGTCTTACCTGGGATTGATCCCAGAGTTCAGAGCAGGAGTAAGCCCTGAGCACTGCCAGGTGTGGCCTCCCCCTTAAAAAAATCCTAACAAACTTAAGTGCAACAAAGTATGACTACAGAAGAGTTAAGTTAGAAATCAAGAACAAAAATATCTTAGGGAAAGCTTTGAACATTAGGGAGCTAGTGAACATAATTCTAAGTAAGCCATGGTCAAAGAAAAATCAAAAAGAATGTCCTGTAAATTTGGACTGTCGGAACAAAAACGAAATATCACATATCAGATGGAATACTGCACCGTGGGCACTGCTCATAATGCTCCATAATTGGTGAGATTCTGCAAAAGCCCTGTGCAGAGGCATTTTGTAGCACTGAATCTGTAGAAAGAGGAAATATCTTAAGTCTGTGATCTCTGCTAAATAACCTTGAAATAGAAAAAGAAGAACACGCATAACCAAAGTAAATAGAAGAGCAGAAATGAAGATTGAAGAGAATAAATACAAATGAGATAGAAAATGGAAATGCAGAAGGGGTTGAAGTTCTTTGAGAAGAATGAGTTTGATAAACCTTTAGCCAGAATTATCATTTAAAAATATGCTGTTTTATAAGTTTCATTTTAAAATTGCTTTACTTTTATTTTTTAAAATAGGATCTTTCCCAGGGACCACACACCAAGTGGTTTAGTATGCAAGCTTGCTTTGCCATGCTGCTCTGGCGCTGTGGCCCTGGAACCACCAGAGATGCACAGGCTGGCGCTGAGAATCAAATTTGGGGCCTTCCGCACGGGAGGCATGCTTCCCTTCCCAATTCTTTAAGTTATCTCCCTTGCCTCAAGTTACATATTTTTGATTAAGTTATTCAAAGGCACTTTTAGTATAATTGGAGATGTTTCTCTGAGGGTGGGGGTGGGGAGGAGCTGTAGTCAACAGCTCAGTGGTGTTTCAGGGCTTGCTCTTGGTGGTACTTGGGGGGACCACATGGTACCAGGGATCAAACTGGGGCCATTTGCACACAAGACAAGTGTCCTAACCCTTTATTATCTCTCATGTCCAGTTTTGGAATTTTTGTTTTGTTTTGGGCCCACACCTGGCAAACCTCTGGGTTTACTCCTGGCTCTGCACTCAAGAATTACTCTTGGCAGTATCAGGGGACCATATGGGATATCAGAGTACTAACTGAGGTCTATTGCATGTAAAGCAAGCATCCTACCAACAAGGGCTATCTCTTCAGCTCCTGTAATTTCCTTTTTAAAAAAGGGCTCTAGTCCCTGAAAGATCTAGTATGTATAAACATTTATGGAATAACTTATCTCTCTTTGACTTTGATATGGTAATTTATAACATGTAAATGAGTGTTGTAATGAGTGTTGTACCACATGTAAATGAGTGTTGTACCGCACAGAGGGTAGGGTGTTTGCCTTGCACGCGGCTGACCCGGGTTCGATTCCCAGCATCCCATATGGTCCCCTGAGCACCGCCAGGAGTAACTCCTGAGTGCAGAGCCAGGAGTAATCCCTGTGCATTGCCAGGTGTGACCCAAAAAAGAAAAAAAAATAAGTGTTGTTATGAAAAAGTGTGGGTCCATGCCTTTTGACTAATGTAGATTGCTTTAGGATTAATTTTGATGCATCATTTTAACTTCTTGATAACATGGTACCATTTGTGGTGAAAGTGGCATAACAAATTACAATTTCTTTTAAAAGTTGCATTAATGGTTTTGACACATGTTTGGAGATTTATCAGCATCCAGCTTTTGTTCAAATCACTTTCGACTGTCATGTTCTGGTCTCCAAAAATGTTTCCTATAGTTTTAAATCTAAAGTGATATACCCATCTCCAACTTTTTGAGTTTTTAGATGGTCTGTGAACTAGTGTACCTAGTTCTATGACTCCCCCTTCCCTGTGGTAGCGAGGTGTGATTGGTTTTGTTCTTGGAGAACTGGAGATTGAAACCAGGGCCTCCCACTTGTAAGGCAAGTGCTCTGCCATGGACCTAAGGTGCCACCCCTGCTTCTGGCCCTTTAGGGGGACACAGAATCTTTGTTAATGCTATTTTGGGTTCATATAGTTGTGCCCAAAGGACAATATATTCCTAGCAGGCAGTCTCTACTGCTCCTGGGACTTTGCTCTTGATTCTCCTGGCTAGCATTTTCCCTCCCCACTCCTGGCAGTGCTCAGTGTTGCTGTTTAGGATTACCAGGTGGTATTGGGAGTGAAACCCAGCCTTTTGTGTGTGTGACTGAAACCGCTCCACACTCAAATTGTCTATGAGGTACAGGGCCAGAGAGATAGCATAGTGGGTAAGGCACTTGCCTTGCTCACACCTGACCATTCTATCCCCAGCACCCCATCTGGTCTCCTGTCAGGAGTTATCTCTGAGCTCAGAGGCAAAAGCAAGCCCTGAGCACTGCGGGTGTGATCCAGAAACTGAAAAAATTAAAAATACATACACATACACATGCACACATATCTTTCACTGGAGTAAGATTTCTAAGAAGCTCATGCAAGTTTTGGCTAAAGAAGGTTAATATGTTCCTGTACTTTCTGTGTATTTCCAAAGGCTGTATGATGAATGCTGGAAAACAGTTGTGAGAGAACTGTGGACATTTTTCTGGAGAGAAATTTAGTGAATGGAGCATGAATTTATTTGTTAAGGTTTTTTTTGGGGGGGGGAACTTCTGGGATTGCTTGGGGTTCTGTGTGATGTTAGCAGTCAAACCTCGGCCCTCACACATGCCTGGCATGTGCTCTGCCATGAGAACCACAGCCCTGACCTCACTTGGTTGCCTTCTGACGTCTGAGGGTGCCGAGTGGAATAAGGAATAGACAGTGGAAGGAAAGACAGTTGGTAATTGTTTACTGAGAGCATCAAGTTTCAGTTCTGGAAAACAAATAACCTTTTACCAGCAGATAAAATGAGATGACTCAAAGAAAAAAGCTCCCTCCCAGTCATTAGAAATAGTCAGGCACTGACTAGATGCCTGACAAATACTCGCAGTGGGAGAGTGAGTTAACTTGATCACCTCAGGTTCCTTCTGACTCATAAGATTATCTAATTCCTTGACCCTTGACAGAATTCTCTTACTTCTATGATTAACAGAGAAGGAGCAGTGTGAAAAAGTACAGCACTTGGCTTCACTATCAAACAGCATGAGGCATTTGCTGAAAAGAAGAGAAGCTAATGCTGTCTCCTTCTACCTCCCCTCCCGCTCGGCGTGACCCCTCACCCCCCAGTATTATTACCACAAATATTTAAGGAGTCATCACTTTTCCATGCTCTCTTTAGACTCAGTATAGAGAGTGCTCGCTTTTGCTTTGACTTCTTAGCCACAGTGCTCTCTTACTATCATTTACTCGCTACTCTGAAAAATTGGAGGTTACTAGAATGTTACCAATCCTTTTTTTCATATTTGGGTCATGCCCAGTGGTGCTCAGGACTTACTCCTGGCTCTACGCTCAGGGGTCACTCCTGACAGGGCTCTGGGACCATGTGGGATGCCAGGGATCAAACCTAGGTCAGCTCTATGCAAGGCAAGCACCCTACCATACTACTGCTCTGGCTGGGATATTAAGCCTCTTTAATCTAATACGTTGTTAACTATTTTTGTCCATTGCTTTCATATTCTTGGGTAATGCTACATTCACAAAGTTTCTCTGAGTATACCTGTTTTGTCACATGATCTCAAAGTGACATGGAAATTATATAGTTGTGATTTTTATTAATACGAGAAAATTTGGCACCCCAGAAGATAATATTTTCAGTTTGCTTTAGTAAGCTACTTTTATTGAATAATATTTGTACTTTTTGTACTTTTATCAATTTGTACTTTTTACTTAAAATTGAGGACGGAGAGACCGGAGAGCTCTGTGAGCTGTAGCCCAGTTGGGCAGGTCATATCATCATCCCACAGCACTGCTGGGAACAGCCCCTGGGCATGGAGCTCAAGTAGCCCCCCACAGTACTGGGTGTGACAGAGAGAGACAGAGACAGAGACAGAGACAGAGGGAGGGAGAGAGAGAGGGAGGGAGGGAGGGAAGGAGGGAGGGAGGAAGGAAGGAAGGAAGGAAGGAAGGAAGGAAGGAAGGAAGGAAGGAAGGAAGGAAGGACACAAGGAAGGAAGGGAGGGAGGGAGGAAAGAAGGAAGGAAGGAAGGAAGGAAGGAAGGAAGGAAGGAAGGAAGGAAGGAAGGACGGACACAAGGAAGGAAGGGAGAGAGGGAGGAAAGAAGGAAGGAAGGGAGGAAGGAAGGAAGGAAGGAAGGAAGGACACAAGGAAGGAAGGGAGAGAGGGAGGAAAGAAGGAAGGAAGGGAGGAAGGAAGGAAGGGAGGGAGGGAGGGAGGGAGGAAAGGAATATCTTTCATTAATTCTTTTGGTTTTGATATTGGGCCACACCCACGGAGCTCAGGACTTACTCCTGGCTCTGCACTTAGGATCACTCCTGGCAGTGCTCAGGAGACCATATGGGGGTGCCAGGGATCGAATCCGAGTCTGCCATATGCAAGGCAAAGTGCCCTCCTTGCGGTACTATTGCTCCAGCTCCTCCTTTATTATTTTTTTTTCTGGATTAATATTTTATTTTTTTTCTTTGGCAGTCAGTGATTACTTCAGAAGATAATAATATAGAGGCTCCCAGTTATTTATCCAAAGAACTGGAAGTTCTCATGTATGCCAGACAAGATCCAAAGTGCGTTGACTGTTTCCAGGCTTTTATACCTGTGCACTATCGCTACCATCGGCCTCACAGTGGGGATGGAGAGACCTTTGTTGTGATCAATAATCCTGATTTATTGATGCATTGTGACCAAGGTAAGAGTTGCTGCAAATCTTTTCTGATGCTTATGTAAAAAACTCTGACAAGTCAAAAGCATATTTCTCTTTTCTTTCCTTTGAGCTTTCTGTTTGTAAAATAAGGCAGAGATAGCAAAAAACTTCACTAATATGTAAACTGTTATAACCCAGATATTCTTGTAACAACCACAAATAGAACTTTGGCGGTGACCTTAACAACTCTGTGTGCCCCGTCCGAGTCATAGCCTCCTCTTTCCTCTATGAATAAACTACTACCCGGGGGCAGGAATGGTAGGACAGCAGGGAGAGTCTCTCATCTTGCAGCTAACCTGGGTTCAATCCTCGGCATCCCACAGGGTCCCCTGAGTACTGTCATGAGTGATTTCTGAGTGCGTAGCCAGAAGCGCTGCTGGGTGTGACCCAATCCCTGCTGTTTTTAAAAAAAAAGGCCCTCCCGTTGATCGTCGATTTGCTCGAGCGGGCCCAGTAACGTCTCCATTGGAGACTTTGTTGTTACTGTGTCTGGCATATCGAATACTCTCCGTAGCTTGCCAGGCTCTCCGAGAGGGGCGGAGGAATCGAACTCGGGTCGGCCATGTTGGCCGCTTGTAAGGCGAACGCCCTACCGCTGTGCTATCGCTCCAGCTGGAGCATTAAAAAAAAAAGGAATTAAAAAAGCATTAAAAAAAAAAGCATTAAAAAAAAAAGGAATATTTTATTGTTCTTACTTTTTTTTTTTTTTTTGGTGAAGGATCATACCTAGCAGTGCTCAGGTATCACTGCTCATGGGGTTCAGGGGAACAAACGGAGTCCTGGGGATTGAACCAGGGTCATCTGCATTCAAGGCAAGCACCCTACCTGCTGTACTATTATTGCTCTGATCCCAGATAGAAAATTTTTAATCCTACCTGAATGTCATCAAATATTTCATGTTTAATTTTATTTTGTCTCTAGCTTTATTAGCTTTATTTATTTCTTGAGTTTTGGGCCACACACCAGTGGTACTCAGGGACTACTCCCTACTCAGTGCTCAGGGGCCACTCCTTGTAGGTGCTCAGGGAACCACATGGTATTGGATTGCACCCAGACCTCCAACTTGCAAAGCATGCTCTTAGCCTGTTGTGCTCTCTCTGAAGCCCTTTTACTTTAAAATTGGGAAAAATATCATTCCGGGGGGAGAGCATCTGAGTTCTGGTATTGTTCAGTAACCTATGGAAATGGTTTGAATTGTATACTTAGGATCTGTTCACATTTATGAATTGATTTTATGTTGCTTTTTTGTTTTACTTTGGTCACACTCAGCAGTGCTTTCCTGGTGTACTCCTGGCTCTGAGCTCAGGGGACCATACGTGGTGCCAGGGATCGAACCAGACTGACTGTGTGCAAGACAAACGCCCTGCCTGCTTTACTATCACTCTGGTCCCATATGTTACATTTAAAGTGATTTATTGTTTGTGGACTTCATGCCCAATTCAATCAGCTTAATCAATGGCTGAATAAATAGCAGTGCTCCTACATTATAATAAAAACTAAATTAAATAAATAAATAAAATGACTTATTATTTAAGTGTCCTAAAGTCATGGTGGGATTTGTTAAGAATTCATGCTTAGGGGCTGGAGCAATAGCACAGCGGGTAGGGCGTTTGCCTTGCACGCAGCCGACCTGGGTTCGATTCCCAGTATCCCATATGGTCCCCTGAGCACCGCCAGGACTGATTCCTGAGTGTAAAGCCAGGAGTAACCCCTGAACATCACTGGGTGTGACCCAAAAAGCAAAAAAAAAAAAAAAAGAATTTATGCTTAACTTACACAGTCTATCATTTTATAATTTCTTAGGCACTCAGAGTCAACAACTAAAGCAAGGCAGCATTTGACAAATGAGTCTAAATCATATTAAAATGTTCAAATTCTCGTCACCCAATACAAAGAAAGACTCACCTGGCCTCAGATTCAGGTTTCCTGATATGATGTTCTATCTTTTTTTTCTCAGAATTTCCGATTTTGAAATGCTGGAGTCAGTCACAAGTGGCAGCTCCTTGTACTTTGAAGAGTAAGGATATCTGCCTATGGAACAATATGAAATATAAATCAGTAAGTTAATAGGTTATGTTGCTTTTGTGCTTAAAGAATTAATATTTTGTTTTCTACTGTAGAAAGCTCTTATTATTATTTTTAGATATAATAATATTTGTCTTTGCTGATAGCCATCGTCGTTCCTCCTTTGTATAGAGCCACAGAATTGATTTGGGTGCTAATGGGTTATTCCAGTAAGCCCATGCCTCATTGTTCCAGAGTATAGCTGATCTACTTTATAAAGATATGGGATGGCAGAGAAGAACTGGTCTGTCAGTTTGGTTTGTTTTATCAGTAATACTTTATTGTGTTTTTCTTTGGGAGCTGGAGGGATTGAAGGCAGCTTTTCATACATATGAAGCATGTGCTGTACCACCAAGCTACAACCCCAACCCCTAAAACTTTATTTTTGTTTAGAACAAATCTTCTTTTCCCCAAAGTAGAGCTTTTTAGTTTTGAAAACAAAAATTAGTTTGTGCCATTATAGTACACTGAACAAAGTAATGAAAACAAAACTCCAAGAAGTATTGTTTCAACTGAGTGCAGAGCCAGGAGTAATTTCCTGTGCATCGCCAGGATTACTCCTGGCTCTGAGTAAAAAAAGCAAAAAAAAAAAAGTCAGCTGTGGTAGTTTCCAGCAGTCGTTTTGCTATTGGAGACTCTGAATCCAGGCTATGTTAGGCTGGATTTATATATGGTTTTGACACCCCCAGCATTCTAAATTAGATGCAGTGTTTCCCAAAGTCAGTGACCTTTTTTTTTGCTTTTTGGGTCACACCCGGCTTTGCACAGGGGTTACTCCTGGCTCATGCACTCAGTAATTACTCCTGGCGGTGCTCAGGGGACCAAATGGGATGCTGGGAATCGAACCTGGGTTGGCCGCATGCAAGGCAAATGCCCTACCCACTGTGCTATGGCTCCAGCCCCAGTCAGTGATCTTAGTGCTTCTGGGGAGGGGGATGGGATCCCTCTAGGGAGACAATAGCATCCTTAGATACAATTGAGGGTGCTTTCTTCTTTCTTCTTGTTCACTTAGAGATTTCTAGGGAGGGCTGTTTTTGTTTGTTTGTTTGTTTGTTTGTTTGTTTTCTTTTTTAAAGGGCAATTGGCCAAATAAGTTTGTGAACCTTTTAATTAGACTATCAATACTTCATTAATATCAACTTTATCTAAGGAGTCTGTAGTGTTCTGAATTTTCTATTTACCTTTTTCTGTTCTTGTTCTTTCTGGCGGGAGTTGAGGGGTATGGAGAGTGAATTGTGTGTTCCTGGGTATTGAACTTGAGCCTCAGACTAGCCCTTTGAACTCCCCCCCCCCCCCAGCTTTTTACCTACCTTTTGGGTGCGTGCTTGTGTGTGTGTGTGTGTGTGTGTGTGTGTGTGTGCACGTGTGCACGTGTTGTGTGTGTATGGGGCACAGAGAAGGGGAATACAGCTGGCGATGCTCAGGGGTACTCCTGGCTCTGCACTCAGGAATTACTTCTGGGTGCTCAGGGACCCTGTGGGATGCCAGGAAATGAACTTGGGTTGGCTCTGTGGAAAATAAACATTCTACCCACTGTCCTATTACTTTTCCCCGCTTTCCCCCTTACCTTTTTTGATTGACATAGTCTACTCTTTTCTTTTATGTTTAGTCCAGTTATTTTCCTCCCTCCCTCCCTCCCTCCTTCCCTTCCTTCCCTCCCTTCCTTCCCTCCCTTCCCTCCCTTCTCTTCCCTCTTTCTTTCTTCCTTCCTTCCCTCCCTTCCCTCCCTTCTCTTCCCTTTTTCTTTCATTCTTTCTCTCCATACCAGGGTGTAAGCATGTGCTCTAGCCCCTTGTGCTACCGTCCACCTCTCCCTCTTTCAAAAAGTAAATTTCTGAGAGCCAGAGTTTTAATACAGCAGGTAAGGCATGCTTGCCTTACACGTTGCTGGTTCAGCTTCAAACTTTTGGCAAGACAAGTGCCCTACCCACTGTATTCTTTTTCTGGCCTTTGACAAAATTTTAAAAACTGTTTGTGGAGAGAAACAACAAACCAGGAATTGAATGGATATATTCCTTTTATTGCTTAAATGTTTTTTTCCTGCTCAATTTACAGTTCTGTACTAGGTACTAAAAGGAAGTAAATATTTGATATTGATTACAGAGGTAACATTAAGATATAGCTACAATAAAAAAAAATACTCTGTAAAAAAAGTCAGAACTAATGGGAATTTAATTCTGGGTCTTGAGGTAATATTGTGGGAATTGAGTCTTATCTGGGACATTAAACGATATGTTGAATCCAAAAGATTATTCGAACAGTTAAACAGTAATTCAATCCACGTGTGATGCTGAATTGGCTAACAGACATGCAAAAGAAAAAATAAAATAAAATGGAAAAAGAAAAATCAAAGGACTAACTATCTCACCATGGGACCTGCATTCTCAATTCTAAGTTTTCTGTTCCTCTCTCCCCTTAGGTGTCCAGCAACGTGACTCTCCAGGTTCCGGTCGGGCTGACTGTCCACACCTCCTTAGTGTGTGCTGGCACTCTGCTCGTCACTTTCCTGTGTTCCACTTTGATCCTTGTGGCTGTTTTCAAATATGGAGATTTTTCATCATTATAAGATTTATGTATTATGTAAACCTAAATAAGACCTATGGCGTTCGCCTTACAAGCGGCCAACATGGCCGACCCGAGTTCGATTCCTCCGCCCCTCTCGGAGAGCCCAGCAAGCTACCGAGAGTATCTCGCCCGCATGGCAGAGCCTGGCAAGCGCCCCGTGACATATTCGATATGCCAAACACAGTAACAACAAAGTCTCCAATGGAGACGTTACTGGGCCCACTCGAGCAAATCGACGATCAACGGGAGGGCCTTTACCTTTACCTTTACCATTTATGACTAGAGAATTAATAAACATGTTATTCCTTTTGTCGTTTTTGGCAAAAATTATGTTTTTCTGAGGAAATTCTGGATTACTCTCACCAGATTCCAGAATTGAATGCTGGTGACCTTTGATGATCCCTATGTCTTAGGGCCAGGAGAGAATATTTAATTCTGCTAATGTATGTTTTGTGAAACATGACTTACTATTTTTACGTGGCTTAGGAAAATTAGTTCTTTTAATGTTAGAGATCATTTAAACTAAACATTTAAAAAGTCATAAATAAAAAATAATAATTTAAATGGAGACTATATAAGCCATTTATTCAGTGTTTCAAAGGCAGTCTTTAAAATAGAAAAGTGAAGAAATTATTAATATTAAAATTGGTATTCCTTAAAGTATTTCCATCCTTTATATTTTACTCTAGTTATTTTATTTTTTTTTAATTTTTTTTAATTTTGATTTTTTTTTGCTTTTTTGTTCACACCCAGCGATGCACAGGGTTACTCCTAGTTCATGCACTCAGGAATTACTCCTGGTCGTGCTTGGGGGACCATATGGGATACTGGGAATTGAACCTGGGTTGGGCTGCGTGCAAGGCAAACGCCCTACCCGCCATGCTATCACTGCAGCCCCACTGTCGTTATTTTAAAAATATGAGTTAATGAATTGGCAAGAGGCTTAATAAAGTTAAGTATTATGATTGAGTTTTCATTTAGTATTGAATCTGTCAGAAAAAAATTTTGATTGTCATTTTAAATTTTTCTCTAGTTTTCGGGCCACACCTGGTGGTGCTCAGGGGTGCTAGAGTTTGAACCCTGATGGATCTGTACAGAGAAGGTGCCCTACCCACTGTACTCTCTCTCTGGCCATCTAATTGGAATTTTAAATACTGTATTAAGTTATAAATTTATAATAATTGTATCTTCAGGAATTTTTTTTTTTTGGTTATTGTTTAAAGCAGATTTTTTTTTTTTTTAAGATCACACCTGGCTGTGTTCAGGGCTTACTGCTCGACTCTGCTCAAGGATCACTTCTGGTAGATTCCAGAGACCATGTGTAATGTCAGAATCAAACCCGGGTTGGCCATGTGCAGGGCAAGGGCCTTACCCTCTCTACTCTCACTCTGGCCTCAGATGTTTTGTTTTGTTTTGTTCTGATTTTCAAATGAGATCTTGGTTTAATGTTATACCTCAGGAGAAAAAATAAAGAAAAAAAGAAAAGAAACTACGTGCTTGGGGGGTATGGTGCCGCTAGCAGGTCAATCTGTACCTGTGAGGTGAGTGCATCAGCAACCTGATGGTGCCTTCAGACTTCCAGATACCCCAAAATTGCTGCTGTGCCTTTGACTAGACCCCAGAAACTTGGGGCAAAGTTTATCAAGAAAGTAAATGGCCAAAAGTTAAGTATGTATCTTGAAACCCAGCGGCTTTTGGCAGAAATGAGTCTGGACCCCGCAGTAGGTTACTGTCACCGGGCCACTCCAGGGGGGAAAGGGTGTTGTCTCTCTGCCTGCTCCCCCTTGGTGGCTCGGTGGCCACCATCCACCAGAGGCCATTGGATAGTCAGGTTTGGGCCCGCAGTGACAAGACACATGGGGCCTCACGGGATGGGGATGGTGGAACCGGCCCTTTCCTCCTCACCCCAACGAGACCCCAAGTCGTTGCCCATGAACAGCCTCTCTGGCTCCTGATCAAGCTGCTTAATGGCCATGATCCCAGAGACTCAGAAACAAATCTTGGAACCCAGTGGCTTTTGGCAGAAATGTGTCCGGACCCTGCAGTAGGTTACCATCGCTGGGCCACACCAGGGGGGAAAGGGTGTTGTCCTTCCATCTGCTCTCCCTAGGCTGCTTGGTGGCTGCCATCCTCCAGAGGCCACTGGACAGTCAGGTTTGGGTCCTCAGTGACGAGACACGCGGGGCCTCACGGGATCGTCCCAATGAGACCCCCGAGTCGCCACCCATGAACGGTCTTTCTGGCTCCTGATCAAGCTGCTTAATGGCCATGATCCCAGAGACTCAGAACAAATCTTGGAACCCAGCAGGTTTTGGCAGAAATCCCTCCAGATTTAATTGTTAAAATTTTGAAATTTCAAAATTGCACGGCCACTACTGCAGCTGCACGACATCGTGTTATTCTTTTTTTTTTTCATGTGTTATTCTTAACCAGCAATAGAAAACAACTTGTCTACTGTTGCCTTTTCAGCAGATCTGAGTGCTGGGGTAAAATCCCAAATAATAATGGTGGGTCTGGTGTCAAAATATTGAATGTGATCAAAGTAGAGAGAGAGTAATGTAGAAATCATCTGCCCCACAGGTAGGGGGAGGGTGTGGGATGGGGGTATCCTGGGGTTTTTGGTGGTGGAGAATGGGCACTGGTGAAGGTATGAGTGTTTTATTATATGACCGAGACTTAAACCCGAAAGCTTTGTAACTGCTCTCACGGTGATTCAATAAATAAAATTATAAAAAATGAAAAAAGAAAGTAACTAAGTGCCATGGCTAATTAATGAAAAGGCAAGCATGCTCTCCTTTTTTTCACTTAGGAAAACCATGTTCTAAAACAAGACAAAGCAAAGGGTTGGTATTCTTCCTTTCTTCCTTTCTTTCCTCCCTCCTTCCCTCCTTTCCCCCCACCACTCGGAGGTGCTTGGCGGCCTCCAGATGGCTCCTTCCTTCCTTCCTTCCTTTCTTCCTTCCTTCCTTTTTTTTTTTTTTTTTTTTTGTCACACCTGGGGATGCTCAGGGGTTATTCCTGTCTCTACACTCCAGAATCACCCCTGGCGGTGCTTGGAAGACCATATGTGTTGTAGGGGATCAAACCCAGGTTGGCTGCGTGCAAGGCAAATACCCTCCCCACTGTACTATCACTCCAGCCCCTTGCATTATTTCTTTTAAGTAAAGTAATGGGACATGAATGATGTACATTTATTATTCTGTCACTGCTTAATTTCCTAAAATATTTTGTTCTATTATTTTGTTTGGGTTTTTTTTTATTTGTTTTTGTTTGGGGGCCATACCTGGCAGTGCTTAGGGGTTACTCTTTGCTCTGCTCTCATAAATTACTCCTGACAGTGCTCAGGGGGCCATATAAAATGCCGGGGATTGATCCTGGGTTGGCTATGTGCAAGGCAGACACCCTGCCTGCTGTACTATCTCTTTGGTCCTATTTTGGTGTTGGGAATAAATATTTTATAACAGGACATGAATAGCTTGACTAGTCACCACAATTCTTTTTTGGGGGTGGGGGAGAGGGTTGCTTCTCCCAGGAATTCTCTGCCAATTTGGCTGGCATTTCCATGTGAGGGCCTGAGGGATGTCATAACTGCTCTTAGCTGCTCAGGCCCTGCAGTGTTTGGGGCTTCCAGAACCACAGTGAGGTGCTTGGTGGCCTCCAGATGGCACCTGAAAATGCCCAGTAGGCTCTGCAGTGCCAGGGACAGCCACATATAAGGGGTGAACCTTCATCTCTGTGATATAGCTCTGGCTTTTATTGTTCTATTGGGTTGTGTGAGTGTGTGTGTGTGTGTGTGTGTGTGTGTGTGTGTATGGTGCCAGCTTAGAGCTTCATATATGCAGGGTATGTGCTCTACCACTGAACTATATCTGAGCAGAAGTTATTTTGGAAACTATTTTTTTTGTGTGTGCTTTTTGGGTGACACCCGGTGATGCACAGGGGTACTCCTGGCGGTGCTCAGGGGACCATATGGGATGCTGGGAATCGAATCCGGGTCAGCCGCGTGCAAGGCAAATGCCCTACCCGCTGTGCTATCTCTCCAGCCCCTGGAGCTATTTTTTGAGACTCACATATTGAAACAGAGAACCCAATGCTATAAAGAAAAAAAATTATAGTATTTCCTAAAATATTTTGTGTTCTATTAGCTTATTTGGAGTTTTGGGTTTGTTTTTGTTTGGGGGCCATATGTGGCGGTGTTCTGGGATTATTCTTGGCTCTGTACTCAGTTACTCCTGATTGATGGGCTCAGAGGACCATATGGGATGGGACTATCTAACTTTGCATATGCACCCGTCTCTTGAGTGCTCTCTCTAGCCCCGTTTAGTATTTTCTTATGAGAAAACATTCCATGATTCACAACCATTTCTTACACTCGGGATCAATAAAGTGATACTAATATTGATTTATATATAAGGTAAAGTTCATTAGCTGCATTTTTCAACACAGTTAAACAGGATGGGCAACATGAAACTTTCATTTGGAAGGGAGTCTTCATCTGGCGGTGCTCAGGGCTTATTCCTAGCTCTGTGCTCAGGGATCACTCTTGGTGATACACAAGGGACCACATGTAGTACAAGGGATCGAATTAACATCAACCACATGCAAGGCAAGTACTTTAATCCCTGCACTGTCTCTCTGGCTTCAGCATGGTATCTTTTAACCTCAGGTGCACATGTATGTGTTTTGTGTGTATGTGTGTCTCTCTATATATGTATACGCATATTTATATGCATATGTATATGTACACACATGCATATGTGTTTATGTATGTGTTTGCACATCAGAAACAAGTTTTATCACCGTTTAAACAAGTCTTTAAGTTGATATATAAATGTGACACAATGTATTTATTTATACAAGTAACAAGAGTGTAATACAATTGTGGATGTGAATGAAGAAAACATTTCTGTGACTCTTTTCTCTTAAAATTTCCCCCCTGGTTTTTAGGCTACATTTGGCTACTCAGGGGCTGTTCCCAACTGCATACTCAAGGGTCGCTTCCTGAGGCTCCATGGGAATTGCACCATTCTGCCAAGCAAAGCATGTGCTCTAGCCTGTTGCACTTTCTCTCTGTCCAGCTTGACTTCTTGCAGTGGTTGCAAGTAA